TTAGGCGATGAGCGTTGTTGTGAAAGAAAAAACAGCACTACAACAGCAGTTGAGGGAATCACACGAAATGGCTGAGGACCGCTCCAAACAGCTCCGGAACCTTTCGGCATGCTCTCTTTCTCATTGAAATTCATTGTTTTTTTTTTTTAAATCAAATCACAAATTAAAATTTATTATTACATTTTTTGCTATGAATTTTTGCACAGTGGAAATTAGAACCGCTGTCATGCAGAGAGTTGAAAGTTCGATTCCCCACTGGGACAACCAATCCCACTCAGATTCCTTCATTTGTTTCGCTGTTTAATTGGGGTGGGCCACGGATTCAAACTTGCTCAGCGTGATCCAAAATATTAATTTGAGGAGGAATTCGTCGATTTCCCTAACGGCGGGTGATTGCTATTATACCTGTCACTTTTGGGGCTACTTCCGAGTGCCTCCATCACTCATAAAGATCAAATACAAGGAGGGACGGGATGGAGGGACATTTTTCTCTGATCGCATTTCTTTGTCGATTCGAAGGAATTATAGCGAGCATTTTTTATGGTGAAATTTTTTCTTTTTTTTGAAAGCCAGAGTCACCTGTTCTGCAGAGGCTGGAAATTGAGGAAGTATTATTCTATTGGTCCGTAAATTTTTTGCATAATCTTGCTGTTTGGTGTAAAAAATGCATGAATTTTTTTTAATTCAAGATTGAATTGAACGATAAAACTTCGCGTATCCTGTCGTTGGAGGCAGAAATCAGCTCGCTGCGTAAGGAAGTGACATCGCTCAGTGGTGCTATGCAGAGGCAGGCGCAGGAAGCGGAAAGTGATCGGAAAGAAGCACTGACTTGGCAGAACAAACTTATTCGTGTGCAGCAGGACAGGAATGACGCACAGGTTTGCTTGTAGCCTCTCGCGGGGTGTTTTGTACACTGATCGCTGACCTCATTCTTCAGCTGAAAAGTTCCCTCTGTGCCGGAAAAGTGGGCAGGAAGGGTTGCTGGGAATCGCGCATGAGGATATTCTGAGGGACGGGAGGCGCCGCAAAAAACACACGCGACAGCTGGAGTGGACGAATAGCGCCACATTGTGTAAATATTTCGGTTGTGTTATTACGCCAACACTGCTGGTCAGAAAGCGCGATTGCTGACGGAAGCATCGCCCACCTAAGAATCTCGGGATTAAGCAAAAGGCGCTGTGGTCAAGGATTCACTCAGATAAATCTTGGGGATCATTCAGAGAGTGAAAGATACTGTGATTAGGCAGTGGTTTTTTCGAACATCACTGCCAGTAACAAGTTTGGTACGATATTTAGGAACGTTTGCGGGTATGCATGAAAGAAACGGAGGCCGCACAGGCGGAGCTCGAGGAGGCTCACAAACAGCTGCGCATGAAGGACATTTACCTTCGTCAACTTGGTGCTTATACAGGCGCTACCGCACCAACAGCTACCGATACTCGGAATTTTAGTGGTAAGTCTGAAAATATACTTC